GATTGGCCCCTTAGGAGGTCTCTAGGTTCTCCTAGTTTCCTAGGGACGTGACTAGCGTCCCTAGGTGACCTACTTCTTGCTCCCAGAAGTCGTTACCTATTTCCTAGGAGTCGCTAGCTCCTAGGTTTATATACTAGGTCTATCCTTGACTTTCTATTATATCCTACTCGATTTCTAGGAATTCCGCTTATAGCCCTTCGGTCAACCCTTTAATATATAGGTTGCCGGCCAATATCTCTTCTAGGCTTAGGTTATTCTATCTTACTAAGAGATCTTCTAATAACTCGCTAATTAGGTATTCGTTTTCTTGTGTTATATATAGTTCTTTGTGTGGTATCTATTCTTATATCGTACGTAGTTCTTTATATAGAGCCTAGTACCTAGGCCGCGGTCTATTAGGCCTCTTATTCTTATATTCTCGAATATAGTGTCCTAGTTTCCTATATATAAAATAAAGGTTTTTCTATCGACGCTCTTTCTACTTATCTTAAGTGGTGTCTAACTCTATCGGCTTCGGGCTATATAGATTATTGTCACGTAGTACTTTCTTGTAGCGCCTATACTATCGGAATCGATTAAATCTATATAATTTACCCTTCTTCCACTACTCTATTTCTTATTACTTATATTGTCTCTTATTAATATAGTTATCGATCTTAATAGCGATAGCGATAAGTTGATCTAAAGTGTTAGGTCTATCGATTTGTGCTAGTTTATCCTTAACTTCTAGCTTTAACCCTACTTCGAAGTATAGAATATACACTCGATCAGGTAAGTCTAAGTAGGATATAATCTACTAGAATTCGGATATATAGACCGACACGCTGCCCTACTACTTGATCTTCTATAGTCTTCTTTCGGCGGTTTATTAGGTGTCGATATCTCCGAACGTTCGTTCTAGGTATTGTCTAAAGCTAGTATAGCTCTTAAAGATAGAAGCGGTAGTGAATAACTATTCTTCCGGCGCCTTCTCGTAATAATCTTATACGTATAGCTCGAGCTAGTTCTAGGCTTATCCGCGTAGGTAAGTAGATACAAAAATCACCTTACTAGCTTCGCTAGGTAACTTATCTCGGTTTATATCTAAGTGTATATCTATCTATATAAGGAATCCTCGAAGCTTGGATTAGGTTCCTTCAAAGTATTCTGCCTTAGGGAGTCGTGGTATACCGGCCGCGCTAGTAGGTGTAGAGCCGATTACCTATTGCTTAAGTTATTTAAGGAAGTCGTCGACTTGTCCGAACTTACTGCTGTTATTTACGTCGTGATTGTTGATAGCCTATATAGCTTTTTCTAGGTTATGTCGTAGGTTAGCTAGTTACTTTTCCTGCCTCGTAATGGTCTTATCTCTCTTGTCGTCGGAGTCCGGTTCCTCTTTCTTAGGTTGCTAGACCGGAGCCTATATTACTCTTTTTTCGATTTGAGATATATTGTCGTTCGTTTAGACTCGAGACTAAGATCGAGACGGTCTTCAATATATTACGCACTAACTAACTAGTCACGGTTAGGTTAGATGGTTTAGGGTATAGTTACCTTATTACGCCTCGGGTTTTCTAACGTTAACAATATATCTATCGTCACTAAGCTATTACCTTATCCGTAGGCCTTACTATAGCCTAAGTCCCTAGGAGTCGTGTCGAGGAATCGATGCTAGGTAGAGCGCCGAGTAGATCTATACCGGGGTATTAGTCTAACTTGTAGTGTTATTAAGTTATATCTTTAGTCAAGAGTCTCGTGTTTCTCAAAAGTATATATAAGTAACAATATAGGATTGAAGACGAAGAACTAAACTAAGTATATGAATGAACGTCCTTATATATCCTCCTGTCTTCCTAGGAGTAGTTGGGTAGATAGTAGCTTGGTAGATTTGTCTTGGCGGAATCTATCGTTCTACCGTCGACCTGTCTACTACCTGTATGATCACGTGACACGATTTCTGGTTTGCTGGGGTGTCCTTTGCACGTGATCTAGGTTGATTGGCTCTCGATGGCCCATGATGCTAGTAGGGTAGTTTGGGTCGCTGGGTGCCTGATAGGTCCGTAATAAATAACTTTATTATAATATCCTAGATTTATAGCGATATATTGTGAGTCATAATATAGTTTACCGTAGATAATATATCTAAGGTTCTCTTAGATACTACCGGTAAAATATATATCTTATACTCTTATACCATAGTATATATCTTATAATTACTATTATACTTATAAATATATATCTTATCCTTATATACCATAATATATATAGATATATCTTACAATTATTATAATATTTATAGCTTTAATTAAGGATACTTACTTTTATAATTATATATAATTTAAGGGTGTCTTTAGGTCCTAATCGCTCCCTCTATTAGAGGGGGAGAGAGGTTTAAAGTTAAATATTAATTTTCTTACTCACTTAATTAGGTATAAAAGGTACTAAACTAGCTACTATAAAGCTATTCTTAATAGTCTCTAATTTAAAAGCCTTGATTTAAGCGGATAGATATACTTTAAGGAAGTTAAGTTTATTGATATAGTTAATTCTACTTTATATCTTTAACTTAACTAGCTACCTATATAATTATTTTAATACTATAAAATAACTAATATTAAGAGGCTATAAAAGATAATATAAATAAGGAGATATATAAGCACTTTAGCAGAAATAATATTATAGCCTAATAGTAGGTTATAATATTTTGTACGGGAAGGTGTATTAGATAAGCTTTATCTTAACGTATTCGGTAAGCGAGCTACGTATATAAGCGAGCTACGTACCCTAAAACACTATAGTAAATACGATAAATTATAACCTAATATCTCAATAAGAGTGGCCTATATAGACTTTTCCTTTTAGCCTTGTATTTAATAGGTGATATTCAGCCTATTTAGAGAATTTAGGGGACACTTATCTCTTAATAACTACGATATATATATTTCTAGATTTTTGCAGCGTAACTTTTGGTAATTTTTGAAACGACAGTAATATAGTATCCTAATCTCTTTGAGATTGATATATAATACTTATAAGCCTTGTGAGCACTTTAGCAGAAATAATATTATAGCCTAACAGTAGGTTATAATATTTTGTAGGGGAAGGTATATTAGGTAAGCTTTATCTTATATAATATTATATTATATAAGATATAGAAAGGTTTATACTTAGCTTAAGTAGATAATAATAGGTAAGAGGTAAGAAAAGTTGTATTAAATGATTATCTAGCTAAGAATCCTCTATTCCTTATATAGGTAAGCTCTAGTAGTATAGAATATCATAGAAAGTCATTAATAATATAATAACTTTGTAAGTATAATAGTAATTATAAGATATATACTATAGTGTGTGAGTATAAGATATATATTTTACCAGTAGTATCTAAGAGAACCTTAGATATATTATTTACGGTAAACTATATTATAACTCATAATATATCGCTATAAATCTAGGATATCATAACAAAGTCATTATATTATTAATGACTTTCTATAATATTCTATACTACTAGAGCTTACCTATATAAGGAATGAAGGATTCCTAGCTAGAAAATAATAATTAACGAATACAACTTTTCTTACCTCTCACCTATTATTATCTATTTAAGCTAAGTATAAACCTTTCTATATCTTATATAATACAATATTATATAAGATAAAGCTTACCTAATATACCTTCCCCTACAAAATATTATAACCTACTATTAGGCTATAATATTATTTCTACTAAAGTGCTTATATAACCCTTATTCTAAATATAATATTTTAATATTTTAGATTATTTAGAGTCAATTACTAGTTATCTCTCTATATCACGTTTAAAAACGCGAGAAAGTGTATAATTTAGATAATTTATAAATTACAGAAGTTTATATAGAAAGTAGTAGTGTTCCTATATAAACCTAAAATATATATCTCACTAAAGTATTGATATTAGCCTATTTTCGGAGTATCTCGACCTTTACTAGTTAGATTTAATTCAAATCTTTCTAGAGTATATACTTATATAGCTAGTATAACTCTGAATTCTGAATTTAAACTTTATAGACCCAGTGGAAGGTCATAATATAGCGATTATAGAGGCCGATAAGATAGGCTTTGTTGGGGGCCTACGAGGCCCCTATTAGTGGGCTATGGGTTGGGTCGGGTTTCCAAAGTTAGGCCTATAGCCCACTGCGGGTTGGGCTTTGGGCCTAGGGTGGGGGCCCATTTGTGGGCTTTGCGGAAGTCTAAATATATATATACTAAGAGGACTAAATAAAGTGTAAATAATTAAATAAATATAATAATGATCTTTTCCAGATTTCCTATTTATTATAAATAAAATACCCTAAAATTACTAGCTTTTCTATATAACTTATATATATCACGAGGTTAGTTGTGTTTACACTGTTATAGTGCTATAGCACTCCCGCTATAGCACTATAGCACCGAACTAAGTGTCTGGTGCTACTAAGCCTTGGTGCTATAGCACCGAACTAAAGGCCTAGTGCTGCCGTAGCACCGGTGCTGCTGGACTTGTCAAGGCCTAGGTGGCCCACTCGCTTGTGAAATACGTTAGTAAATGCTGGGGTGTAGGGATTAATACCCGTGATGCTCAGTGAGCTAGCGTTGTGATTATGTAATACTCAGGGGCAGTGAGCAAAAAGCGGCAAGGACTGAGCACTAAGGCGGAAATGGAAAGCCAAGAAGTGGCAGAGGAAATCAAGTACATAAGTAACAGTGATACTGGGTTTTCTCGGAGCATAATATGACGACGTGGCGTATATGAATATAGATGTCCAGGTACCCAGTCATCTACCTAATTAACCGCCGCATATATGCCATATGCACGGTTGAAACAGACTAAAGCAATACAACCTAGTATAATGTCACCCTTCCTAAACCCCTCGATTCCAAAACATGCATGGTCAAGGCGGACTGCCGATCCCACGTGTTGATCGTGTCTTTCCCACATTGCTCTCTCCCTCTACTTATATACAACTATCAATCCCACATTAGGCCGCAGGACCTACCCCAAACATGCATCTCCAAACCCTCCTCCCCGTTCTCTCTGCCTTAGGAACAACAGCTGCCATTACCTCCCAACCCCCAGCGCATCTCTGGGCAACCCACTACAGTGGCAATGTTTACTCTCTGACTCTGAAAGACAATGATCTATCCATATCACAAACCCTCGACACCTGTGGCGACATGCCAAGTTGGCTGACCCTAGACGCGCACACACGTACCGTCTACTGCACCGACGAGAGCGGCAGCGCCGATCCTTCCACGCATGGCTCACTGACAGCCCTGCATGTCCAGCCAGACGGCACGCTGCGCGAAGGCGCTGTCGCGAGTGCTGTCGGTGGCGGCGTGAATAGTGTTATCTATAAGGCGGATGGGGGAAAAAGTATCTTGCGGTTGCGCATTAGTATGTTGTGTCTCCTTTCTTTTTTTTTTACCTACATTTCCAAAATCTTGATCTTGGGATTGTCCTTGCCTTCCATTGGTTGTAATGTGAATGAGGACCTACATACTAACAATCCACCAGCGGAGGCTCAGCTATCTCAACATTTTCCCTACCAATCAAACAAAACCAACCAACCCTGCAAGCCTTCCATTTCAATTTGACCAGGCCGGGTAAAGTTCCCCAGCAGGACTCGTCGCACCCACACCAAGTCTTCCTTGACCCGACCGGCTCGTTCATCCTCAGTCCTGACTTAGGTGCGGATCTGCTGCGCGTATACGCGATCGAGGATGGCCAGTCGGGAAAGCTGTCGGAGTGTCCGAGCGTGAATGTTACCTTCGGCAGTGGGCCACGACACGGCGTGTTCTGGACAGATGGTAGCGATTGGTCGGTTGGGGCATGGTCCTCCCGCTCGCAGAAGACGAAGGCTATCGGCGAGACAATGATGTATCTTGCTAACGAGATCGGGGGTACGGTGATGGTGTTTGATGTCTCGTATCCAAGGTCTGGGTGTTTGTCTTTTGAGAAGACCCAGACGATGGTGCCGTATCCTGGGGGTGTTATGCCCGAGGGTGCGACGCCGGCTGGGATTAGTAGGATTGGGGATGACTTTTATGTTTCGATTCGGAGTGATCAAGGGTTCGCGCCGAGTGATTCCATGGCTGTGCTTGATCGGTCGCCGGAAGATGGGTCGCTTGAGTTGCGAGGCTCGTCTTCTGCGCTTGGGAAAGTGCCGCGGACCTTTGTAATTAACCGGGCCGGGGATTTGGTTGCTATTGGCAATCAGGCTTCTGCGACGGTTGCGATTGTGCGTCGGGATCCGAAGACGGGGAATCTGGGCGAGGAGGTTGCTACTCTACAGGTTGGCGAGCCTGGGAAGGTTGGGACTGCGGAGGGTCTCAGCAGTGTCATTTGGGACGAATAGATATTTACAGTTATATAACTCAAGAATTGGATGTTGTGGCGGACACAGCTCTCTTCTATAAACAACGTAGCAGAATGAAGTCATTGCAGTACAAGTTCGCATCACATGAAAGATTGGAAAAGCATCAAAAGCATATACCTCATGACCAAAAGATATGTCCACCTGAACCCCAGAATGCGGAACGAAAGATAATGTAGACCATTGAATGTTGAAGACCAGCTTCCTTGGGTTTTGTTGTCGGGGCCCTGCACCGAAAATACCTGGCCAGATAAAAACGACTCCTGCAACGTCGTCTTGATGATGGATCCTGCCAGATCGTATTGGAAATAAAAAAAAAACCCCCAAAAGGCCGATCGAATGATGAAAATAAATAACAGTATAAGAATGAACGTGTATCAAACATCAGTCGTAAAATGCGTAAAGCCAAAAGAAGTGGGCTTTCTTGTTGAGGTCGTTCACTTGATGTCGAGTTGGAACGCCTTCCATTTGCCTCCCACCGTTCGGCATCTTGGACACCCACGAGGTCCGGGATAACTTGTCGGTCCTTGTGACGGGGCATTATTTAATATGCCATTCCCTGGAGTGCGGAATGAAGCAGGCGGGCTAGAAATGAACATGCCCACGCAATCGCGGCAGACTCCGCAGATGCACTCGGTACAGGCATAGCAGTCATTCAGTGGCGAGGGTCGTTTGCAATTAGCGCAAAACACCTGAACCTCTTTGTTGTGGAAAGATGCTGGAGTAGGATTCGAGAATCTATGTTGTTGGCGCTGGGAGATGGGCGGGATAAGATTCATAACCGGGCTGGAATCGGAGTTTACGGACGGCGCAACTCCCGAAATTGATGATGCAAAATTTCTTCCGGATGCTGAAGACATAGAATCGAGCGATGATTCAATAGACGGGAAGGGTTCCAGGTCGCTCTCACGGCTGCGGTTGTTCGCGTATGGTGGTGGGGTTAATGATTTGTGCAAAGGCGAGGCGGCATAGGAATGCGGTGGGAAGGGCCGATGTGAAGAGATAGGAGGTAGTCCTCCAGACTGGAAAGCGGGTGGTAGCGACGACCGATTTTTCACCCCAGAGGGAGCAGACGTCACGTTGGAAAGTAGTGGGGCAATCGTTGGAGATCGACCAGCCTGCATTTGGCGCATCAGCACCGAAAAAAAGGCCAAAATCGACTTCAAACTCACCTCTGAATATTGTTCATCGTCTACTTCGGTTGCCGACGTTGCAGCTTCGATCAGATCTTCCCAACGCTTGCCTTGCGCCCAGGCCGCGGTTTGCGGCTCTGCTGAAAGGGCTTTGCGGTCAGTGAGACTTGGTCGCCGTCCAAATTCCTTTGACTTGGGACGATCCTGTTTGGGTTTCCGGGCAGATTGAGTAATAGAAGATTTGCGTGGGCGGCAAAATTTATCTCTTCGCTGGATTGGCGGTAATGTGGATGAGCGACCGGGCGGGGAGTGATTGAGGATGGACGGAAGAAGCTCGCGGGGACGAGGCGTAAACGGTGGAAGAGATTCCTGCTTGAAGTGATCACGCAGTGGGGGAGTTCAATAGCTCCACGCATGCGAGGATGACTCAAGTCGGTATCCGAATGGGTATCCTGGGGAAATGCGGGTCAGTGCCACCGTGGAGAGACTTAAGGCCCGAAGCCCACAACCACCTGGAGCGACAAACCATGTCTGTGTCCCAATCTGAGGCCAGTCGATGATGGTGCAGCTGTGCTAGAGCAACCGCCGCAGTGGCTGCAGCTGGGTGGGGTTCATCCAGAGCTCGAGGGGTAGCCGGGGAGCCGTCAGCGACATAGACGTCCCTTTCCGGCGCCACATCTGTGGGTAGCCGTCAGTATCCATGTGGGAGAAAGCAAGTCAAAGCAAAGCAAAAACGAACCATGAGGTCGCCGAGGTTGAGCAGGTTCGGGAGGTGACAGCTGCACCCGTTGCTCGAGCGGGGTGTTCACCATCATCAGGAAGCTCTCTTCGGTAGCCGGGAGCTTCGGGATATAGTGGTTCGGATGCGCACGTCGAATGTGCTCCTGCATGGAGCGATAGCGTTTTTCCTAGCACACCAACCGGATTAGTTTGAGTTGGACTCAAGAGTTGCACGGGGGTCATTATAGCTTTCGCAAGCTGTCCAGGGTGACAGGTGGGGCTCAGGCAAATACTCACACCCAGGCATCTTTTGCGACAATTGGAACCATCGTTATTCTTCAAGGGACAGACCACCTCGTTATTGGCATCGGTTACCGAGAAAGAGCTGGTCAGTGAGCTTCGAGGAGGCATGGTGCATATGGTCATCCGAGATCCCGGGAGTTGAGATAAAAAAAGGAGGGGCGAATAAAGAGATCAGCCAAGCACAGACAGGGTTTGTGTGAACAATAGGCAATGCAGTTCAACATGCTCTGAAGTAAAAGAGAAGTGGGAAGAATTGAAAAAGGCAGAAGGAAAAAAAGGAAAAGGAAGAGGGCGGCTCATACATTCAGAGTACTTCGAGGCCCCCCCCGTAGTTGTGGGTGAAAGTCACTGGGGTATTACGGGTAATTACGCAGTTCGCCTTATTCTAATTTTTTTTTTTTTGGCTTCGATTTTGTTTTACTAATTCTCTTCTAAATTCCCAGTAGTAATAGATATTCTAGTCAGGAACAGCTTTCCTATGCTATTTAGTTACTGAGCCTCGCATACGTGGCTATCGTCCCTATCGAGTATCGATAACCAAAAAGAGGGGCGTGCAGCTCTGAGCTTCCCTTGTAAAAAATACCATTCTTGGAAAGTTCCCTATCAAAAAAATTGGAAATTAACAAGGAAGATAAAAAAAAAACGAAAAAAAAGGAAAGAAAATTTGAAAGTATACGGTATTGGTATTCAAATACAACCGAATTGGCACGGCTTTTCGGAAACCCCGGTGGAACACCGAGCTCTAGCCATTTTCATCTGTGCATTTTTATGTATTCTTATATCTGATATCTGATACTTGATGATTCTATTCGGACTATCTAAAAGGTATTGAGAAATATAATTTGCAGTGTTACCGGGAAAAAGGAAGAAAAAAAGAAAAAAAAAACCAGTCACGATAAAGACGCTATCAGCGGCCCCTCTCGAAGCTCTCCCCAGCTCCTGAGCTTCATTCCAGAAGGGAGGGAAGCTCCGGGTGGCGAACTAGCGCCACGATACAGTGTAATTTTACGTTCTGTATTATCGAAGGTTTCCACGGTTTCAATTTTTCTTTCTAATTTTATCAGATTTGAGCATAAAGTACGGAGGTACGGGGATACTTGCATAATGCAAAAGGAAGAGAGAGAAGTGCAGTGTATTTCAAGCGTGTGACTTGCTAAGCCCTAACAAGTGGTTCTAAGGTCAACTTCATTACAACACTCCATATAGCTCTTCGGTCCACGTACCCCAGCTCCGATCTTCTCCGTTTACCCTTCTAATCGAAAGATACTTGAATACCCATAATACGCTGTATAACGAACTGCCGATGAAGAGCATCCCAAAGCAGCCTGATTGGCTCTTTAATCTCCACCTGGGGGCACCGAGTCACCAATTATCCCCACTCTCATTGGTGAAATTCACACGCCATCCCGGTTCTGGGCGGCCGTGCAGGGGGGATCACTAGAGAAGTCTGAGATTTCAAGTTCGAGGTTTTATGCTGAATGGAGTACGGTGTACTAATATCTGATAATAATATTACATACTGATATATTCCAAAGTTGGTATAAATACATTACAAAAGCTGTTATCAAAATCATATACACACTTATCTATACATAAAATGTCAAGCATGTCACGCTCCACTTAATATGACAAGGTGGAGAGCTTGCGAGTCGAGACTTTCTTGTTCTGGACAGCTACTTTGTATCTTATCTGCCTTAGAATTCACGTAAGGTGCTTTGGCTTCCATGCAACCTATAATTACATTCACTCTATACTTGTATCCATCTCTCGGATGTAATGCATGACTATGGCCATTGTACTCAGTACCTCGTAATACTAATTACATCCTTAATCACACCGCATTGATCCCTGCAGAACAGCATACCAACTGCGCCCCAGCCATGCAGGGTCCTAACATCATCATGGCAACTGTGTCGCCACTGCCGAAGGGGCGAGGGCTTAACCAACTATAAGTGTGCCCCCGTACGCCCCGTTCATTCCCATCTTGTAGCATAATCCGAAACCCTTGCTGCGGGGTTTACCTCTCAAGGGATTCAACTTGAGTAAACTCGCTCAGCCGCAGAAATGCAGAAACCGGATTGAACTAAAAAAATGCTCGGTGACTGATCGAAACGCAGAGCTGACCAGCCAATACCGCTAAATCTTATGCATATCCAAGTATGGTCCCCGTCTTACCCGACCGTAAATGGAAAACTTGAATCAATCTAGCGGAGGCGTAATCATACCAGTACCGCCACCACACCCCATGAAGTCGCCATCCTCCCCAGCGAAGAATAACAAAACTGCCTCAGCAGCAGCCTTAGCATCATCATCATCCTCTGACCCAGGAACACGGGAGCGATAGATCAAGTCCAGATACTCTGCCACAACAGCTTCCGGCCAACCCGCACGACGGCCAAACTCCTGCGCAAGCTCCCCGTTAACAAAAGTATCGAACTCAAAGTGACCCTGGTACGTCAGGACCCGACCGGGGTTATAAAGCCCCTGGATAGCACATTGCGCACTACTCCCGATACTAGACCACGGCGCCGGTAGCGAGACTCCGGCCTGGCCCGCAGCAGCTTGAGCCTCGGGCGTCGGCACCACTGCATCACCGTGAATTAACTGTATGCGGAAAGCGTTCTGAGCTGTGGCACGCGCAAGTGGTGGGAAGCGCGCGGTGAAGGAGGATTGGAGGGTGATGGGCTGGATCCCCATTTCGTACCCGACAGGGGGAGTGCGCAACATGGAATGTTGATATCGGCGGGTGGTTCGGGTTTGCATTGGTGCTGAGGAGTGCTTGGGCGATTATCTGGTGCCCGAAACAGGAGCCGAAAAGTTTGACGTTTGGATAGTGGGCGTGCACTGTTTGGATGTAGGATTGCATTTCGTGGATCCAGGGTTGATCCTCGTATGCTGAAGATGCTGAGCCCGTGATCAGGATTGCATCTATGGGACTCAGTGGTCCGCCGGCGTCAAGCTCGGCTGGGCACTTGGGGTTGGTTCGGAGGATTTCCAGAGGAGGTAGGGACCCGCCCACGGCATCAAAGGCCGTTACATGAACGGCGAGAGGTCCATTCGGGAGGGCTTCTGGCGTTTTGTTCAGGCGTTGGGCGGCTGCTTGTAGGAGCACACGAAACTGCGAGCTATATAGACCTCGCGCTCTATATACTGAGAGGCAAGGAATGTCGGCGTCTAGCACAGCCACGTGGATTATGTGTTGGGCCATGGGTTTGGATCTCCCTTCAAATGAATGTAGTAAGCCGAATGAGAGAATATGTAAGGCGATGTACAAATATTAAAAAAAATGAAAAAAAGTTCGATGTCAAAGGACGTTCGCATCCCCACGCCCGATAAGGATTTGAGTAATCTAGTGGGGCATCCCAAAGAGGAAATTAAATCCATGTCTGCAGAGATTTGATGAACATAGCATCAGGGACGGCATGAAAAGACATTCAGCATGAAAAGATATTCCAGGCACAATATATATATATTGGAGTAACAAAAGAATAAAGGAGGAAAAGATGTTGAGATCGTGCATCCAAAGACCATTGAGCAGTAGAAGGTCAAGGCACCCAAGAGGAAGAACAATATACAATATTCGAAGGTGGCTTTATCAGGTAAGTAGTTCGAGATGTGAAGAAAGTTGATGAAGAATGAAGAAAGAACCAGGCCTCAATCTTGTCTATACCCTAAGAGCAGCCTATAAGAGCAATGTCCCAATTTTATGGGCTGATCGATGAGATCGTCCTGAAGAATTTGGGATAAGGGTTGATGCGGAATATGTCGAGGATAATCTTAGGGTATCGGCCGAGACTGTGACTGGCTGGATATTTGTACCTGACCAGGTCATATAATCTGATCTCTTAAGTATATATACATCCCCCATCATTGGATACCCATTAGTATGTGTTACACCCTACAACATTCCAATGCATACAAGATATTCTCCGTTATATCTTATATATCTCTACATCTATATATCTTTCTATCTATTTACCTAGGTATATATCTATGTGCTTATATAAACATCCTCATTCCCCCAAAAACGTGCTCCCCCACTGCCATCGCAACATTCGACCCCGCAAATTGCGCCATCTCGGCCATTCAACTCCCAATCAGCTTCATTTCTTCAGCTCTCTTGCTTCGCTATACAATAAATCTTAGTAAATTCCTCCGTCACGCCATAAAGTCCACTGCATTGCTCATTGACAACGGACGACTATAAAAAAACCAAACAATCCTTGTACTTCGGTGTATCACATATCCTTTTTTAATCATGGCTCCTGCTGCTACATCCTCTCTTCCAACTGCTCCTCATAACCTTGCAGGGCCCATCTCATGGGATCTATTTCCAGATGGACTAAAAACCACTGGCCAACATCCCCCACTCTACGACCACATCATCCCCTTCGAAAAGTTCCCTAAACAAATTACCGGCCCAACAGTCTGGAAGGCCGAGGACTACCGCGAGAACCCAGAAAAATGGACGCACGTCTTTACCCAGGACCAGATCGATGAGCTGAGCTCAGCAGCGGATGCTTTCCTTGCGTCCAAGACCCCGCTGACCGGAATCTCAAAGGTGAGAGAACTACAGTAGTCATATCTACAAATCTATATGGAACCGAAACTAATCGTACCCCCAATAGACCAACTTCCAACTCCCCAATCTAGCAGCTTACCTACAAGCCCTACGGGCAGACCTCATTGACGGCAAGGGCTTCATCCTCTTCAAGGGCTTCCCCGTCGAGAAATGGGGCAACCACAAATCCGCCGTGGCATACATGGGTCTCGGCACATATCTCGGCTACTTCGTCAGCCAGAACAGCCGTGGCCACGTCCTCGGCCACGTCAAGGATCTCGGGGAGGATTCGACCCAGATTGACAAAGTGCGCATCTACCGCACCAATGCTCGGTGAGTTCTAAACACTCCTAGTCTTTGTGGAATGCGCAAGCACACAAAATAAAACAATCAGCTGACCCTCCCCATCCAGCCAATACTTCCATGCCGACGACTCAGACATCGTCGGCCTTCTCTGCATCGCCAAGGCCCTCGAAGGCGGCGAATCAGATATCGTCTCCTCCCACCACGTCTACAACGCACTCGCCGTAGAACGTCCAGACGTCCTCAAGACCCTCACCGAACCAATCTGGTACTTCGACCGCAAGGGCGAGACAAGCAAGGGACAGGAAGAGTACATCCGAACCAGCGTTGTCTACCTCGAGCGCGGCGAGAACGGCCGTGTCTACACAAAGTAAGTTCCATCACACCGCTCCTCCACCATCGTCACTCTGGAATTCCTCCAGTTTCTAACAAGATTACCAGATGGGACCCATACTATGTCCGCTCTCTCGGCCGTTTTAGCGACGCAGGAATCATCCCCCCCGCTGTCAGACGCACAACAAGAAGCCCTGCGCGTACTGGAAGAAACATGTGTACGTTTGTCATTGCACATGGTCCTTGATATCGGCGATATTCAGTTCTTATCAAATGCGCACGTCCTGCATGCCCGCACCGCGTACACGGATCATGCGCCACCTGCCCCACGCCGTCATCTTATGCGTCTTTGGTTGGCGACGCCTGAGAATGAGGGTGGATGGAAGTTGCCTTTCTGGGATAGTAATGAGAAGAAGAGAGGCGGGATTCAGGTTGATGATCAGGTTCCTGTTGCGCTTTTGGATGCGGAATGAGGTTTGACTGGGTTGGGTTGGCTGCGATTTATAGATTTGAATGATACCTTTTTCTTTCTCTCTTTTTTTCTTTCCTTCTTCCTCGATGCTCTGGGTCCACATTGCACATCGTGCTTTTGATTGTCCAGGGGTATCCTGAGGATACTGTTGGATCTTTGACGCGGTCCAGGTTAGGCTGAAACTAGATCCTCGGCCCCGGTCTATTAGCACGGGCATGTCTGGCATATGGTCCGAAATGACCCCAGTGAAGACTACCCTGAGTCCCCTCGGGGCCCTTCAGTGTGTAACCTTGGGCCCTCTCAGCGTCGCCGCTGCGGAAACAGACTGTAATTTCCAAAGTTCTCCATTTACCGTCTGGAGCTGAACACCCTGCTCTTTGAGTCAATCTTTTGTTCTTCCTATGGAGTTTAGCCCTCCGCGACCCGGTTCCTGGTCTCTCTTGTGTTGATTCCCATTTTTTCTTCTCATCGTTCGTTGCCGAGTGCCTGTTTGCCATGATGTCTGTTCCCTATTGTCCTGACTCTCCAGTGGATCCAACCCCTGTGCAGGCTGTGCTTGCGAAGGATTCCTGAAGAGAGCAAGTCAAATGCTTGAGGGATGGAAGTTGTGCCTGGAGATGCAAGTAACGCTGGTTTAAGTGCTGGTGAAAAAAACAAGAAGAAGGCAAAGACTCTCCCTACTGACCAATCTATCAATTCATAAATCATATTCTCGAAAGGGTATTGTGTACATCTGTTCCAGCAACGCCAAAGAAGGAAAGAAAAAGTTCACTTGACAGACAGCTAGTGCTAATGCACGATCTTGTAATTACCCCCGTTGACAATCTCCAACTTGCCCTTCGAAACCATACCGGCCAAGAACTCGCGCAACTCCTCGTTGCTGAAGGGGAACCCTCCAGGAACAGCTATCTTCAGCATCATAACAATACGATTCAGAGCCATTGGTCCTTGGTTTGTGAGCATGCCCACAATGAACTGCCAATGCACATTCATTTTCTCCATTGCGGCCGCCTCGGCGGATTCCTTTGCTACTGCTGCTGCCGCTGCTTCCGCGGCTGCCGCTGCGTTAGCCGTGTCGCCTGCTTCGCTGTCTGAAGCGTCGCTGAAGTCACCGGCTGCGTGTGCATTGTGTTCCTCATCTTCTGTGGGGAGAACTTCCAACACACGGAAAGTGTCGCGGTGTACCTCGGTGAGGATGCGCTTGCTGACCCAGAAGAGACAGGCGCTGCGTATGAGGGGAGGTGTCATCTCGAGCTCATCGGCGAGTTCCAGAATTGTTTTTGTGGCGGGTTCATCTGAGTCGGACTGGAAGGCATATATTACGGTTGCTTGCCAGGTTGTCACTTCGTCTTTGAAGCTGTGGTTCTCTAACTCCAACTCGACGGTGACCTGGCCTAGGGCGTTACGCCACATGAGTTTGCGCGAGTCCTTACGTCTTTCGAAGCAAGCTGCGTACCGCTCTTGTAGTTTGATGATTTCATCGGGGACCTTGAATTCTTGTTCTTGGAACTCTGGCCAGAAAAAGCGTGATAAAATCTTGGCATGGAGTTTTCCGATACCTGGTTGCTTCCTATGTCCAGACAATATCTGATCATTCCGTACGGTAAGGTCGAGACGTCGCGAGTCAGCGATATCCTTCAGCATGACCTCGCATGCCTGCAGTGCCGAATCACCGAATCGGACCTTCAGAAGCTCTAGTACTGTAATCTCTTGGTCGTAGTTCTGGCGTTTCTGGATAAGACGGTCCGCGAGAAGAGTCTGCATTTCCTTCACGAAGGTCTCCTTTGAGTCGAACAAGCTGACCAGACTGTCAATGACATCTACACTCCTCGACTTTTTATAGTCGGGAGCAGCATCGACTGGATCAGGCACCCAGTACAAATCGTCATAGTCTAGTTCGCTCCTGTTTTTCTGCATGGAATGTTGGTGGACCTTGGTCAGCTCTGCCGCCAGCTCTGTCAAGGTGTTGCCAGTATTTGCCGGTTCATCTGCTGTCGCGGGGTCCGCCAATAGACCGCTGACAATCACCTTAACGGTATCATCGCGGTCTCTCAAATATCGTCGGATCGGTCGAGCAATGCGATCTAGCAGAACACCCTTGGGGTCCAAGATATGGAATGCTCGAATGATCGAGATGTAGACCTGCAAGATCTCGACTGTAGAAGCACCGGGATGTAACAACCGCTGGAGCAAGTTGATAGAGAAGAAGTGCGTCACATACAATCGTGCTCCAGACGAGTTGCTTGTGAAACGTCGCAGATCCTCCACCGCCCCGCAGCTTGCAGGCCAATCAACAACTACATCAAAGAGCTCGCTGACTCGAAGCTTCCCTAGCCGGGCAATACCCATCGATCGCCACTTTTCCACGTCGCGAAAGCTCACATCCATCGCTCCAGATTGGGTTCCCGCGAGGTCAGAATGGATGATGGCCAGAACCTGTACAGCGAGCCGTGCATAGACATTTTCGACCCATTGTTCCAGGTGCTGCGGTGCAGTTGAGGGCGACTCCCACTCACCGGTGTATGCTGCACGAATGAAATCTCCCATCATAACGTTCATCACGTTGGCGAAGACTTTCTGGGCCTGGTCACTCCCAAGACCCACAAGCTGCAGGCCGCTAAGAAACTCCAAAAGTCGATCCCGTGCCATAATCACACGGCTGTCTTCGCCCTCAACCATCATGTGTGTCCGGGCTTCGGGAGATTCCTGCCTCCAGTCTTTGTACGAGACTGAGTACGCCCGTTCCACCCCCGCTCCGTCAAGACTCATTCTATCCACATCAGAATCTTCGTCCAGAGTATCAATGCCTAAGATAATCACAGCATCTTGTGTGAGCTCTCTGGCAAGAAGTGGTGAGATTTTTTTCCATGGGAGACTGTATTGAACCACTGTGGTAAAGGCACGCTGTAGCTGAGCCAAGAACCCTCCTGCTTGGGGAGTAGCTATCAACGGAAGCAGGTATTGCACAACAGGAGCGAGATAAATTCGACGCGCAAGCTGTAAGCAGTCTACGATTGTCCGGAGTAGGCCTTCTCCAGTGGACTTTGAGAGCTACAAGACCGTTAGCACGGAGAGATCCAACCAAATTCAAAGAACACACAGCTCTCATACCTTGGATAGTCCTGTCCGAAAGTTGACCAGAAAATGCCTCCGAATATCATTCCCATACCACTCAAACAACGTCCATGGAGAAGCTCGCATAAGATACTCCAGCGCCTCGGCCGTCTCCGTTGATGGAGGGCTGAGCCGGTTCCATTCTTTCAACACTTGGCTTCCATCGGTGTTCCGGAAGTTGTAAAGCAACTCGAACCCCAGATTTGGTACAGATAGAAATTCTTTCGCTGCCTGCCGCGCCTGGTTTAATGTGTCTTCCTCTGGGGATGCGGCGTCCGTCGATCCCCCAATCGTTGCGAACGAGGTTGATTGTGAGTCTACTTTGAATGTTGATGAGGAGTCGGTTGATTCTTGGAATGATGCAACTGGCGTTTGATCGCGTTGGAGATCCAAGGTCGACTTCGGCGGGTGGGCTTCGAGAGACGCGGGGAGAAGACAGAGCCGCAGACGCGCCTACGTCCCACATTGAGGGGTACGGTTGAAAGCATTTTGATCAAGGGACATCGGACATTGTGAGATCCAGCTTGCTGTTGATCTTTTTTCGTTGCTGCTTCGATTGTGTTCGATGGTTGCCTCTATTATGTTCCAACGAAGTTCAATGTTTGGATTGGAGGAAGGTCACGTGGATGCTTTGCTGAAGCTTCAACTCCACCGGGTTTTGTACGGTGCATGCTTTGGTTCTAATGCCACCAATGAATGTATTCAGAGAGAAAGAGGATATCATGCCCCTGCCGAAACCAAATCCAAGCATGAGCTGCTGTAAATTTCACCATCTACATAGTATGGGGTATCGATCCAAGACAAAAGAGCAATAGGAACATTGCGTATATACGAATGCAAATTATAAAATCAAAAATACAAATCCCATATAAGGCATGCAAAGGTCGAGACAGAGTATGTTTCACCATCTTTCACCATCGACGCGTCCTACGCATTCGTTGAGAGGCCCGGGACAGGGTGAGCATGCAGTGTGCAACCATGTTCCACCGAGACGAGTGTAGATATTTCGAAGCAAGGTGTTGTATCCTCGAGTGCCAAGTATCCCTCACGACTGAGTATCATCAACCTTCTCCCACTCACTATCGGTGCTCCCATACCCAGACCCCTCACCACCGGTGCTGAGCCGCTTCTTATGATCGCGCGCCGTGGGCAGCAATCCAGACGTTGCACTCCCAGTCGCGACAGCACTAGACTTGGCTGTCTTTTTGGCGGAGACAGCTTCAGTCTCCGTTTCGCTGTCGCCGCTTTCTCTTACGGGACTCTTCTGGCGCGTCTTCGCGTTGTCACCCTCTTGTTTTTCTTTCTCAGCCTCCTGCGCCTGTTGGGCAAGTTTCATCTCGGCGGCGAACCAGTTGATGGACCACCATAGTCCAGCGCTAATGATGGATAGCGCGACGAAGTGGAGGCTATAGGTAGCTAGAAGGAGGGCGAAGAAGATGAGCTGGAGGGCGGCGAAGGTGACGTTGGTCGCGATCAAAAGCGTCGGGGTGGGTCCTGGGGTGAAGATGCTGGACCACAGGTCCCCCATGAAGGAAGCCATGATTTGCAAAATGAAGTGGGAAATCCGAAACTTGCAGGGAGAGGGGAGTCGGGAACTGGAATCCGTGGGGGGAAAATGGTTACCGGAATCGACACCGCTCAGGTTGGGTTCTTCTCCACAAAGTGGACGTGGTGGACAATGAATTCCGATGGAATTTATCTCAAGGGGATTTTGGAAAATATCTAGGACCCTTGCAAAAGGGGAATCTCGTCATGATACTATCTAGCTATTCTGCCTATTCTATCATTCGTGTTATTAATTCAGTCAGATGAAGGGATCAGGCCTATGGTCTTACACTATCACGGGATAGATCGGCTTATACAACAAAGTCACTTGACTTTCCGAAGTGCATGCACCGGCCCGAAAATGATGAGTCTGAGTACTATATATCTGCGAACTTGGCAGGTTTCGTCACTAGCTCTCGTGATAGTGATTGCCAAGTTGAATGTCTTTATCGGTTCAAATCAGCTATGGAAAATCATGACATCTAAGAGAAAGCTGATATCAATGAAATTCAATATTAGATAGTGACAAGCATACTATGTCTAGTGGTTGAAGTAAAAGCGGATATGCCCTACATGTTGCAGGGATATGCCTGTCCACTTGACCTATTCAGGCCTGGGCCAGGCGCAATAAAGTTATGTCTAAGAGCTTTATATCTCAAAGGCCGAGTATAGATCCAACTGGAAGTTGAAACATCCAAGAACTATACCAATAGCCGCCACCAATCGACGACATGCTATTATGGCTTTCGCGTTTTCCCCACAATCGCAATGGCGCCGATCTTCCCCAAACCCGCTGGCCGAACCCGTCTACTCCGTCATCTACCCCGACTTGGATCCCGGGCCGTTGCTTCATTGGCTTTTCTAGCCCGGGGAGACCCCACGCCTTCCTATGGGCCCCGATTCACGGAGTAAACAAACCGCATGTTGTGTATAGTACCCCAGCCAGGTAACTGGGGGGAATGGGGTATAAATATCGGAGTGCCTCCGGAATATAGTTTGGATGTCAGAGCGTTTACCGCTTCAATCACATAACCCTGAGTTCTTCAACTCGCTTTGCAACCTCCATTCAAAATGGCTGAAGAAATTCCCGCTACGAAAGAACTATCCCATGACCCTGTGGTAGATGGTTTCTCTCACCATGCCGACAACATTGCATCAGACCGTGAGCCCTATGGTCCACCCGGTCTGCGCGGTCTGGCAGCCAACCCGTTCGTGGTCCTGTGTGCCGCCTGCTCAACCCTGGGTGGTTTGCTCTTCGGTTATGACCAAGGTGTCGTGTCAGTGATTCTGGTCATGGACCAGTTCTTGGCGGAATTTCCGCGGATAGAAGAGAGTAACCCCGGCTCAGGTTTTGCGAAAGGATTATTGACGGCGATGATTGAGTTGGGGGCTTTGATTGGTGCTCTTAACCAGGGCTGGATTGCAGATAAGATCTCGCGGCGGTATTCGATTCTCGTCGCTGTTGCTATCTTCACTGTGGGCTCTGTGCTTCAGACTGCTGCCTATGGTTACCCCATGTTGACTGTGGCTCGGCTCATTGGTGGTATCGGGATCGGAATGTTGTCTATGGTTGCACCGTTGTATATCTCTGAAATCAGTATGTATTTCTCCTCGGAGAGCTTTCGTTCCTTTCTCACACGTGTGACAAATGCTTATCACAATCTCTCCCATTAGGTCCCCCCGAATGCCGTGGAACTCTCCTGGTTCTCGAAGAATGGTGTATTGTCCTTGGCATTGTGATTGCATTTTGGATTACATATGGTACGCAATACATGGTCGGCGAATGGGCCTGGCGCCTCCCTTTCCTGCTCCAATTGATCCCGGGTTTTATCCTCGCTGCCGGTGTATACGCTCTTCCATTCTCGCCCCGTTGGCTGGCTTCAAAGGGTCGGAATGACGAAGCTCTTGACAGTCTTTGCAGACTCCGTTCCCTGCCAGCATCCGACAGACGCGTTCGCCAGGAGCTTATGGACATCCAGGCCGAGGTGCGCTTCCACCAGCAAATAAACAGAGAGAATCATCCGGATCTACAAGGTGATGGCATGAAGAACTCCATTCTGCAGGAGCTTTCATCGTGGGCCGATTGCTTCAAGAAGGGCTGCTGGCGTCGTACTCATATCGGTATTGGGCTGGGATTCTTCCAACAGGTGAGTTATGGGTGGATGGAGATAACCGGCACATGCTAATAATGACAGTTCATCGGTATCAACGCTCTTATTTACTACTCTCCTACCCTCTTTGCTACTATGGGTCTCGACTCGAGCATGCAGCTTATCATGTCGGGCGTCCTCAACGTGGTACAGTTGGTGGGTGTCACCAGTAGTATTTGGACCATGGACGTCGTCGGTCGCCGCAAGTTGCTTATAGTTGGTGCTGCTCTCATGGCCCTATCCCACATTATTATTGCTGCCTTGGTCGGAATTTTCTCTGTCGATTGGCCTTCCCACAAAGCAGAAGGGTGGACCAGTGTGGCCTTCCTCTTATTCTACATGCTTGCCTTTGGGGCTTCCTGGGGCCCTATCCCGTGGGCTATGCCTTCCGGTACGTCGTCTTTTTTCGTTTATCCTGTCAACCCGGCATTTATCTGACTTATCCAGAAATCTTCCCTTCTTCCCTACGCGCTAAGGGTGTTGCTCTTTCAACGTGCTCCAACTGGTTGAATAACTTCATTATCGTGAGTTTCTCGTTATAGTTATGGGGTTACACGATGCATCGCAGACATTAATTATCTCTGTAGGGTCTCATTACCCCACCTCTCGTCCAAGACACTGGTTACGGTGCTTACGTTTTCTTCGCCGTCTTTTGCATCCTCGCCGGGATGTGGACTTACTTCTTTGTGCCAGAAACCAAGGGTCGAACCCTCGAGCAGATGGACCACGTATTTAAAGACAACTCTAGCGAAGAAGAAAAGGCTAAGAGGCGCGTGATCGAGAATGAGCTGATTCGTGCCCAGTATGAGAATGCGCACCGGGAATTTGCATGAACCAATAATAATCTGTCGCCCAGTACATATTAACTGAGCAATAGTGGACTTTTTTTAAAATCCAATCCTCAAACCTAGCATAACAAGGAGTATTATGAAATTTTTGATTTAAATAATAAAAACAAATGATCGATTAATGTCATACTTGCCTAGCATGTCTGAGATTCGCGAAAGCTTTAGACTTCGTTGCGAGAGCCCCATATGGACTTGAGACACATAGTGCATGGATATAATTCTTTGGTAGTTTCTATAAAATGTGTACACATCCTTATTATATTGATTTATATGCTAAAAGAAGCATAATGACAGTTGTTATACCTCACCACATAAAGCTTTTCTATGCACACCTTCAGCTTTTACCGTTATTCCAGTAGCTGTAGCACAGAGTACCACTCTCGGTGTTAAGCAAGCTCTCAAGTGTAGCATTAGGAGCAAGCTTTCCAATGTTGATCTCGAAGTCGAGGGTGACGTTCACTCCAGTATAATCCATGGACTTGACAGGGCCGCCAACTTGACGGTAGCGAGCTGGGAGGTCCTTCTGCTGCCACTCCCAGAATATACGATCAACATTGCCGTGGTGTAGATAGAAGAGAGGGTCTAGGCTTATCAGTATAAGCAGCCATAGTAATCAAGAGAGCGAAAACCTACCACCAGGGCTGAGAGCCTGGTTACCCAATGTTCCGAGCGCACCTCCAACACCGAAATGCCCGCTGCCGTGGATGTTAGGCTGGGTGAAGGCAGGGATATTTTCAAGTGCCCGTGCAAAAGTGGTATAATCAGACTGGGCCTGCACGTGGTCTACGAGGCTTTGGCGTGCGAAAAAATTCATGATCGATGGAATATAGTCACGACGAAGGCAGTCAGGCTGTCCCTTGGGATGTCCCACGGCAAGCATGAAACTAGGGGGAGTGAAGGGACCGTCTTCAACACAACCGCCACCAGTCCGGCCGGTTAAATTCAAGGGGTTCTGCGTCTCGTCGGCCGGCATGTATTTGCCGTTTCCTCCAAATCCCCGGATAGGGTCGAAGATGTCGGTCTCAAAGATGGCCATGGAACTGTTGTCCGTTGAGGATGCATCCAGGGACCAGTTCCAGTAGCTTTAATTGGGTGTTAGTGTTGATTTTTTTATTTGTAAACGATCAAAAGTATATCCTTACGGCTGGCCACCCTGGTAGCCACAGACTTCTCGCAAAGCCTTCTCATAGGTGGCGAGATAGTATCGATGCCAGAGGACGAAGTGACCCTAACCATACCGATCAGCATGATCAACAATCGATAGATCAGGAAAGAAGAACACCTACCACCCAGTGTATCCATGGAGTTTGGTCACTGTGCGTGGCTTGAAAATCATCAAAATGCGTTACTACATTCTCGAGACCAGTCATAGCTGGCCGTGCTGCCAGGCAGCGAACTGCACCGATATAGTCGCGGCGTTCGCGCATGCTCAGATCTCTCCTAGGAAAAAGCAAAAATTTCAATATTGAAAACAAGTCAATCAAGCCCCCTTTGCCATGTGGCTTACCATTCTTTGCGCAATGGGGGGTCTTTGCATGAGGCAACGCTGTCACCAACCAGAAGCAAAAGCCCCAACAAAATGAAATTGACAAAATGCATTTTTGATCACGCTTAAAAGATTGTACACTCGAGTCAATTTTTAGAGAAGGGAAAAGACGTTCTTTTAATATGGATCTCGGGGGTTGTCTCTAGACATCACTTATTAGATAGCGCAACGCGCTAGGGCGGTTTTTCTAGCACATTCAACCACGCGGCCCGAGCGAGACTAAGCACTAGTAGAGACCAAGACATTCTTGTAAACAAAGACTGTCCGAATTTACCGGTTAACCCTCCCAATAACCCAATGGTCGAAATAGAGCTGATGCTTTTCCAGCTTGTTTTCAATTTCAGACAACCAGGTAAGTTCATGTTGTAATCATAGTTCTTGGTACTCATTGATAAACATACAAGATCTTGGCGAAGTCACTAGCAGCCGTTAGCCGTATCAGCCACATCAAAAGGTTACCTCAGTATATAAGTACGGAGTACAGCCCTAGAGATTTTACTTTGGAGGGCCTATAGTATCAGAAACGTCCGGAAATGCAGAGATTTTTCCTCATCAGAATCCAAACTACTCTAAGTATTTCCGGCTACTCCGTATATGTTCTACTGATCGCGCGGTATACGGAAATTGATCCGAGCCCAATATATCTCCCTGCCAAGATTCTTCAAGTAGGGGGTATATCGACCAATAGGAGATGGATGATCCACAAACAGACTTCTACATTGGGACTAGTACCCGCATTAGCCTGTCTGCATCCTGCAAGGTAGTTCCAAGATTCCATTGGAAACCTTCCTAGATCTGGGATATGCCTATGTTGTACGAGGTACTTGTGGACTTCCAACGCCCTCGATTGTAGTATCCAGGGATGTATGAATATTCATCACCTCTGATTCTGTGGCTAACTTGTTCTGCCTTGGCATAGTTTATCTAAGAGTTTGGGAAATTGGCAAGCAACTTGATTCATTGCTGCGCATGAAGCTTGGCCACCAGGTACTCTGTACAATCACTCCGACAGCACATGATTTATATTCAGGGGCCTTCTACGGAGTACTCTGTAAAAGTATGTGGATCGACGCGCATGGATTATTGCCTCGCCGAGGCGGTATAAGAGAGATGGCCTAGCCTCTCGCGCATCTGCAAATAGAGCTACCAGTGGTCTCACGAACTCAAGTGTATTTCCCTCTTTATTTAGCCCATTATGGCCTGGATATCAGCAAGTAATGGCTCATTACAGCCTACCTTTCTTGCGGTCATGACCTTGCTATTATTGCTTTCATGCACAAGTGTTCTGCTCAGAGTTTACTGCCGAGTGTTTCTGGTTCATAAGATTGGACTCGACGACTACCTAATCGTCGCAGGGTTATTTGTGACAGTTGGCATGGGCATAATGAATGGCTTCCATGTTAGTCTAGGGACAGGGTGAGTTGTTCCCTCTGGTCTATCCTGTCACCCCACAAGGGCCTTGCTAACAAGCATCAAATCTCAGTCGTCATCTCAGCGAATTGCCATTGGGGGAAGTTCTCATACCAACACTCAAGCACTGGTATGTTTACCAGCTTGTCTACCCTCTCTCAGTGGGTATGGTCAAGTTCAGTATCTTGGCGCAGTACTATCGCATCTTTGCTCTCAAGAAATTTCGAAAAGCCACCATGGGAGTTGGACTCTTTGTCTTTGCCTACACTATTATTTGCATTTTCGTCAATGTGAGTACGCTACTATGACGTGCCCCTCTGCCAACTCATGTTCTAATCTGACTCTGTCAAGGCCTTCGAATGTCACACGAAACCCTGGCGCGCATGGGATCCAAGCTTCCCCAAAGGCTGTAACAATCTCTCCATGACATATTTCTCCACAGCAGGGATCAATATCCTCACAGATATAGTAATATTGATTATGCCACTACCACTAATCACCAAGCTCAACCTTCGCACCAGGCGAAAATGTCAGCAACTCCCTCTCACCAGATGTCTACTTTCACACAAGCTAATCAGATATCGAAGTCACAGACGCACTTACCGCCATTTTCATGACCGGAACATTCGCTTCCGTCGCCTCCATCATTCGCCTCAGCGCACTATACAAATACACAATAACAAAAGACGTCTCCTACGATGCGATCCAAATCCTCATCTGGTCGCAGGTTGAAGTCAACGTCGCCATTATCTCTGCATCTGCTCCCTCCCTACGTCCCTTGTTCAGCAATACTTTCAAGGGCTCATCCTATGCCCGTTCTTACGGACAGACCCCACGCCATGGCGCATCTTGGACTCCACACGGCAATGACACGGCGACCTCGCAGACTTTGCGGCCAGAGGACAATACGGGCTTTGGGATGTGGACGAACAGGGACGAGGATGAGAGTGGACCTGTTGATGGTTTGGGCTCGAGGATGGCGTCATCGCATAATGACAGGAATAATAGTCAGGAACTCATTCTTGTGCCTGGATCAAATATTATGAAGACTGTTGTCATCGAAATGAAGAGCGAGAGGGGCGATTGTGACTGATCATGGTCGGTTGAGGGCTTGTTTTGTATAAATTAGCATATGAGTATATAGAATATGATAGCGTGCGGACTTACGGTCAGATCAATGATGATTCTGGTTAGATCCAGTGATAATGGATATTTTTGACTACACCTTTCTGTTTGTGATGCAAAACTTCCATCCCGACAACCTATGGTGTACATTGTAGCCTTCCAGGAGGCTCCCCATGTCTTGATTTAGCGGCCTAGATAGACGTATTGGGCGGCAAAGTCCGAAGTATCACAGAAGAAAGGAGCTCGCGTATAGGGTAAGTTGCTACTTCATTTATGTCAAAATTCCACACCTATGCCACCCGACTATCTGGCCGATATGGGGGATCACACTACCATTTTAGGGTAATCTCCGCCTCATTCCGAAATTAAAGAGTAAACGGAGTTTAACTTTCCACTCTTTTATACTCTGCTCTTCAAATAAGGCATACGCTAGGCCGTATAACCGAGCGATATAAGAAGTTTATAGAAGTGTTCTTTAATCTGTAACCCCGGATCACACTATCCTACCTCGACGTCATATATCACCTCTTCCTAATCTTCAATCTTGTCGATTTTGATCTAAGTTTCCGGTGTATTATAATAAGTTAGTCTTCCTATTTAGTTCGTGAGTTATTAGGCGCCTAGGGTATATTACTTCACGTTTCCTATTGTTGGTTACTTTCTTTTCGTAGAAACCTGATTCCTTACCTATAGTGGTACGCAAAGTTGGTATGGTAAGGATGATTCATTATTATGGTACGAGGTGACTACCTAAGTTTATGCGGGGGTCACGTGGATCCATGCTGCCACGCTAGTGGTCCTAATAGGCGCCCCTCTTAACAAAGGCCTCGTCCCGAGGTCTATCTATGTAAACAATAGTGATGAATATAACTTGGTTTAATCGATAAATATAACTTGGTTTAATTATATTCTCCTTCTTCGCCCTGATTGTTCTCCTCTTCTTTGTCCCTCTCCTCTTCTTCAAAGCGGCGTACAGTATAGAAAGTCAGCAGCGTTGCCAGCGTGGATCGTGAGAATTCGTTGTTTAGGGCGGCGATTTGTTTCTTGATTCTATTGTATCGCTCCTTCTCTTCGCGTTTAGCGTTGTTATAGGCTTTATATTCCGCGACCAGGCTTTAGGCTTCCTTAACGCGCTCCTCTATCTCCTTTATTTCCTAGATAGGGTCTACGTTATAGGAGGCGGCTAAGTATTCTACGAAGTTCTCGATATTAGTTATAATATTAATAGCGTGTATATCTAAGCTTCTAATAGCGATTAACTATCCTCGTAAGCTTAGGTCAATCTCCTTCGGTTTTTTTAGATTAGGGATATAGTTAGGCTTAGGTACTAGGATATCGAAGATTCGAAGCTTACCTTTTGATTTATCGCTACTACTAGATAACGCTATAGCTTTAGGGGCTTTAGGGGCGTTAGGTAGGTTATTATTTTAATAAGGTAGACTTTTGGCGGTATTATAATTAAAGCCCTCGTACTTATACTTATTGAAGAAGCTATATAGGACTATTGAGATCCGGAAGCTCATTTCAAACATGAGACTTGCGTCTTTGGTAACTATACGCGCCTGTATAGGTCCTCACGTGACTACTATCTGCCATAGTAGTCTATCTACGGACCCGTACGTATCTATATATAGTCGATAGATCCTCCTAGGAATAAAACTCATGCGATCCTTTCTAAATCATATCTAGTAGTATATCGGTTTAAAACCTTTTTCCATAAAGGTTTAGGGACAGGGGTGGATAGAAGGGACAAAAAGGGACCTTATATAGCCTTAAGGAAATATACAGTCCCAAACAGCTTTATTCCTACCACCCCTATACCCAATTCACGATCCAGCGGACCTGAAATCTAATAAAAATATCGATAAGCCCTAGGTTAGAGGTATAACCTAGTAATCGGAGAAGGAGAGCCGGTCAACACTATACTAAGGACCTAGGCTAGCTTATATAGTACTATACGAAAGAGCGGTTAGGAAGATAAGAGCTAGCTAATACCACACTAAGCACTTATCGGAGATAAAGAGCCCGATCGAGTAATACGTGGGTCCGACTAGGGCTATATTAGGCGGTATAAAGTACCGCTAAGAAGAGGGGTTAGATAAGACCTCCCGGGGTATCCTATAAAGTGATAAGAAACCCAATTAGGGATAGGAACTCCTAATCAGGACTATATAGGACAATTTTACCCCTTACGATCGACCACGTTAGAACCGATCAGAATTAGATCTATATCTAGGGAAGGATATCCCCTAGCGATATAAAAGGGGAACTACCCTACTATAAACGAGGTAGGAAACCATTATTTATCAGAAACCTAAGTAATAACTAACCTATTGTAACTATAAGCACCCCTAAGACCCTAGCCTTAACTATCGAGTAAGTCTATATAGGACTTACCCCGGATATATAGTAAGCCTTAGATACCCTTACTCTAGGTAAACAAGAGCTATACCTCTATATATATAGCACTAGGGACTATAAGTTAGTCTATCTAGTCCTATTAGCAGTGGTAGAATAAGCTAGGAACCTAGAAACGCACCGAAATAAGGTTATATAGCTTATAGCTATTATCGCTAACTCTCCTATATAAGCGGTTCTAGCCCTAGTAATAACCGCTAGCCCTATACTAATAGGCCTAACAACTCCTAGCTATACCCTAGCGGCACTATCCTAGGCTAGATATAATAGTATAGATAAGGATATATAGAGAACTATTATAAATAATATCCAAAAAATTAAGAACTATAATAGTACTATCTAAGGTAATATAGCCCGGAAGTAGGTAGCCAACTATAATCGCTTCTTCTAATAAATCATAGATATTATTAGGTATAATACGCCTAATACTATATAAGTTCTCTACGCTAGCGGAAAACTAGTGAAAATAGCGATAGACTGACTAAAAGGTTATCGGTAAATCTACAAAAGTCAAAATTTAGGTATATTTATCTCCTAGTAAGATTTTAAGAACTAGCTTATATAGGAGTTTTCGGAATATCTTAGCTAGGAAAAGATCTAGGAGAAGTTCGATAGCCTTAAATAAGGCTGCCTATCTATTAGCGAGTATATAGGGTAACTCCGATAGGCCGCTATAGATCTCGATATAGGTATCTCGGAAAAGCTACTTATTAGGCGGTTTATATTAGGTACAAAACTAGAGCACTAGAAGGAATAGGCCAGAGAGAGACCCTAACCTACTAAGCTAGAAGATATTATATCCCTTTTTATTAGGTACGAGGAGGGCCTTACTATCGCGCGGCACTAATAAGGAGGTAGATATACCTCTACGAACCTAGACGCGATAGACCTATCTATCGCGGCTATAAAAGCCCCTATAGAAACTTATATATACTATAACTATAAGAAAGTAGGCTACCTCGCTCGGAAATATAGGGCGCTAAAGATAGAGGAGACTAAATAGAAGTAAAAGGCCGCGGCCGAATAGTGTAGTAAGAAGATATCGGAAAACTAGTACGACCGAATAACGTAGTAGCCCTTATTAGTTATATTTAATAGGCTCCTATAAACCCTTCCCTTAATATAGATAACCTATTAGATCTACGATAAGCTATAGAAGGGTCTATATAGACTAAACTAGAACCGAACTATAAGTAATAGGGATAGGAGCCCCTATTTATATTAGGATCCTTAAATATTATAGATAATTTACTAACGTTCTACTATAGAAAGATATACCTAGACCTAACTAACCCTATCCGGACTTATATACTCCTAGATAGCGGAGCTAGTAATATATTTATTGTACCCTAGCTTATCTAGAGACTTAGCTAACTATAATAGATCTATAAGCCTAAGATCCTACTTATAGTGACTATCGCGAATAGTGAAAAGTTATAAACGGAAGGATTTATACTCCTCCCTATTAAAATAGGGGGATAGAGCGGATATATTAAGGCCTAGATACTAGATATAGAGTATAATATTATTCTCGGATAAGACTTCCTTTATACCGAAAATCCCTAGATTAATTAGTAAATATCTATAATAACTATAATAGATAAAAGGTATAAGACGTTTAATATATACCCTATAAGTAACTTATATATAATCGCGAAAGGGGATACCTATACTAATTTACTCTCTATAAGGTATATATATAGAGCACTCTATAAAAAGAATAGGGAGGCCTAGCTATTTATAGTCTAGGCGGATCTAGATAACGCCATAAAACCCTAGATAGAACTACTATAGTATAATAACCCACTAATATAAACTATCCTAGAGAAATACGGATAGCTCTTCCGATCGGAACTCCTAATAGTACTCCTACCTAAGCGAAGTGTGGTATATAAAATCTATATAGGTTCGGCCTACCCTATTAATATTAATATATACCCTCTTTCCGCCAATAAGCTAGATAAGTAGGCACAATAGGTTAGGGAACTTATCTAGAAGGGCCTAATCTAATATTCAAATAGTACCTAGGGATTCCTAGTTATATTTATCTAGAAAGGAAATAGGAAGTAGTGTATATATATCGACTACTAAGGCCTAAATTAGGTTATAGTGAAAAATAGTTACCTACTACTATAAATCTAGGAGCTCTTAGATATTATCGGAAATATAAAGATCCTCTCGAAGATCGACCTTATAGTAGGGTACTAGTAGATCTATATAGGGGGAGAGCGCGATTAAAAAAACGGCTTTTAACACAATATAGGGGAAGTATAAATAGCTTACGATACTATTTAGACTCTATAACGCCCCTATAATATTCTAATCAGTGATTAACGATATATTACGCCTAATACTTAGCTACTATATAGTGGTCTACTTAGATAATATCCTGATCTTCTTAGCCTTACTTAAGGAACACTACGCGTATCTAGAATAAGCTTTATCTCTCCTAGCGGAACAAAAACTTTATATATTACCTATAAAGTGCTAGTTTGTAACTAATTAACTCGAATTCTATAGATATATTATCAGAAATAGGATAATCCGCCC